CTCCTTTTCTCCCTCCTCCTCCTCTTCTTCCTCCTCCTCCTCCTCCTCTTCTTCCTCCTCCTCCTCCTCCTCTTCTTCCTCCTCCTCCTCCTCCTCCTCCTCCTCCTCTTCACAGGTGTGTGATGGACAGCGATGATGAAGTCCGGGACCGAGCCACTTTCTACCTAAACGTTCTGCAGCAGAGACAGCTGGCCCTCAATGCGGCCTACATCTTTAATGGTAGGTGGCCGAATAACAGAACGGAAGGGACCTTGGAGGTCTTCTAGTCCAACCCCCTGCTCAAGCAGGACACCTATAACATGCCAGACAAATTGATGTCCAACCTCTTCTTCAAAACCTCCAGTGATGGGGCCTCCACAACGTCTGGAGGCAAGTTCTCCCACTGATCAACGTGTCTAGCTCTCAAGAAATTTCGCCTTAATCCCAAGGTTGCTTTTCTCCTTGGTGGGTTTCCACCCATTGCTTCTCGTCCTGCCTTCTGGGGCTTTGGAGAATAGCTGGACTCCCTCTTCTTTTGGGGCAGCCCCTCAAATATGGGGACATTGCTCTCATGGCACCCCTAGTCCTTCTCTTCTCTTCACTAGACTAGACATACCCAATTTTTGCCACCGTTCTTCGTATGTTTTAGCCTCCAGTCCCCTAATCATCTTCGTTGCTCTTGTCTTCACAGAGCCTCTTAAGTTTTTTTTTATATATAATCCGGTGACCAAAACTGGATTCAAACGTTCCAAGTGTGCCCTTATACCAAGGCCTTATAAAGCGGCATTAATCCTTCACGTGATCTTGATTCTTTTTTTAAAAAAAATAGATTTTATTGAATTTACAATTTAAAAACGCATCGACAATACATTTACACAATAGAAAGAAAAACGGGTAGGGGGAAAGAAGGAAAACACCCGGCCTAACACACCGGATAAAGGCCGGTTGGTGGGAAGAGAAAAGATATAGAGGGAGAGAAGGGAAGAATAGGGTAGAAAATACAATTAAAAACGAACGATATCTTTTTGTGACAGTCTGTAAGGATCATTTCTCTTCGTCCTATCCAATCTACTCCTCTTTTCCATTATGTTTAAGTTACTTTTTATCATTTACATAATTTGTCTCTGTGTAAGCCAATTATACCATGAGTCCCAGTTGTCGTAAAAGGTTGAGGACTCTTTGTTTTTTTTAACGCTATCGTTAGTTTATCCATTTCAGCACACTCACAACTTTTCTGAATAACCGTTTGCTCTGAAGGTGTACGAGGTGATTTCCAACGTTGAGCAAACGCTAATCTAGCCGCGGTTAGATTCTATCCTTTTGATTCTATCCTTTTGTTCAGGCAAACCTAGGATTGCATTGGCTTTTTTGGTAGCTGCTACGCACTTGCTGGCTTATCTTTAAGGGATCGTCCCCCAGGACTCCCAAGATCCTTCTCTCAGTTACTACTCCTGAAGCCAGGTACCACCTATTCTGGGTACCTGTACATTTTGATTTTTCTCGCCGAAATGTAGAAGCTTCCTTTTTTTTTTTTTTCCCACCGCTGAATTTCATTTTGTTAGATAGCGCCCCCATCTTCGAGTCTGTCCAGATCCTTCTGGATCACGATCCCATCTTCTGGAGCGTTGGCTATTCCTGCCAGCTTTGGTATCACCTGCGGTTGCTTCCGCAGTTCTCCGCTGCGTTCAGCCCCAGGTCACCCTGGGGGCCTTTGAGCTCTTCTGAAGGCCTCCTGGTTTCAAAGCCCCTTTCTTGCCTTCGGCAGGTCTGACCGTCTCCATTCCTGGCATGGAAAAGGCCCTACACCAGTACACGCTGGAGCCTTCGGAGAAGCCTTTCGACCTGAGGTCCGTGCCGCTGGCCACGGCCCCCGCCTTCGAGCAAAAAGCAGGTACTGGATTCGAGGGTTGTCAGGCTAACGACCAAGCTCAGAAAATCACCAAGTCCCCCACAGTCCTCCTCTTCTCCACAAACCCCACTCCTTTCTACCATGTTTCCCCGAAAATAAAACCCTGTCTTCTATTTTCTTGGCCACCAAAAAAAGGCACCAGGTCTTATTTTCGGGGGATTTCATCCACTGATTTCATCCACTGTCCCCGGCCTCTTTTTTCATTGTCAGAGGCCTTCAGAAACTACTACTTCTGCGGCAGGCAAGGCTTTCCTGAAGGCCTCTGCAGCCTTCAGGATCGATCCAAAGCCGCCTTATCAGCTCCAGAGGCCTTCAGGAAAGCCTTGCCGGCTGCAGAAGAAATGGGGTGGCAAGGCCGGTGTCGGGGTGTGCGAGGCCTGGCTACAACTGTCCAATGTGAAGTAGTAGGGCAGCTCTACTCCCCCGTCCCCACCCTAGATGAATCGTTACCCATCCAGTCTGGAGTGGATGGGATCGTAAGTAGGGCTTATTTTGGGGTAGGTTTTATATTGGGCGCACGTGTGAAAATCAAGATAGGACTTACTTTCGGGATAGGTTGTATATTTTGGGGGGGAAAGAGGATAGCACTGATGATGTTTACGATGGTTCAGCGTTTTTTTCAAGGGGGACCACTATCAGGGCAAATATACCAAACTGTTTTTGTCTTAAATTTATGTTTTACCGACAAAGAAATAAAGGAAGACCAGTATAGATCTATTTCAAGCTATTTAGCTCTCGGCAGCTAGCCATACCCTTCTGGAATTCGAACTCTGGGCTGCTTACATACGTTGTTTCCCCCGAAAATACAACCTACCTGGAAAGTAAGTCCTAGCTTGATTTTTACGTGGGTGCCCAAATAAGCCCTAATTAAGGTCCCGCCCACTCCAGAATGCATGGTTAAAAATTCATCTAGGGTGGGGATAGGAGGGTGGAGCTGCCCTGCTACTTACCTTTGGACAGGTGTAGCCAGGCCTCACGTGCCTTGACACCTGCCTTGCCGGTCCATTTCTTCTGCAGCCGGCAAGGCTTTCCTGAAGGCCTCTGTATCTGAGAACAAAGCTCTGGATCGATCCTGAAAGGCTGCAGAAAAAGAAATTCCTGAAGGCCTTCCGACAGCAAAAAGGTGGCTGGGGGCGACATGCCCAAGTGAGGTTAGTCAGTGGAGGACGTCCCCCGAAAATAAGACCTGGTGCCCTTTTTTGGGTGGCAAAAAGAAATAAACAAGACTGTTCAGAGTTTTTGCGGTGTTAATTCAGCGCCAGAAAAATAAACCCAGAGGGCTGATGCTTCTTTTAACATCTTTATCAACCCAATAAGTAGATTTTACAATACCAGTGGTAGATTTCTCCCAACAGGCAGCAAACTCAGACAGAAACAGACCTCAGTTTCACTTTAGTTCAGCAGGCAAGCAAGACACACAGCAGAGAAGCACTTTCATTTTCAATAGACCGACTCAGAGCTCAACATCGCTTCAAAGCTGCAGAGCTTAATATAGAGCCACGCCTAGGCTGCTACTAGTTTCAGTTTCCAGCCTAGGCTGCTTCTAGTTTCAGTTTCCAGCCTAGGCTTCTTCTAGTTTCAGTTTCCAGCCTAGGCTGCTTCTAGTTTCAGTTTCCAGCCTAGGCTGCTTTTAGTTTCAGTTTCCAGCCTAGGCTGCTTCTAGTTTCAGTTTCCAAACTGTCTTCATTGGCCGATTTAGTTGCTATGCCTATTTGTTGGCTGCCCTTGTTACCATTCCACTTCATGAATCGACTCTGACAAAGACAGGGTCTTATTTTCGGGGGAAACACAGTATTAGAATGATGTATTAATCTCTAATCTCTAAGGCTCTCCTAGCTCTGTCGGCTATACCAGGGCGGAGATAAAGTGGTTTTTTTTTTTAATCAAAGCAAACTTGATCTACCCAATTATGGGATGGAGCACCTGACTTCTGCTTTCGCCTTTCAGCCCCAATCCGGGAGCCTTTCGGTCGTTTTCACCACAAACTAATTTTGGGTTAAATTTATATTTGCTGACACGTGATTTAGCGATTGATGATGGTTGCCACCTCCACAGGTTTCACGATCACTAAGAAGTGATTTGCTAGACAACCGTGGCCAAAAAAAATAAAATAAAAGCGCCTTTTGTAGAATAAGATGTAAGTCATTTCACAATGGCCTTGCTTAACAACAGAAATCCCAATTCTGGTCATAAGTCAGTGTCTGGTTCCGTTGCTTTCCAGTCCTTGGAGACCTGGGCTTCGCATAACCTGCCATGCAAGGCTCCGTTACAGTCGTAACTCGGGGAGCTGCCTTGTATGACTGTGAGATTTTTCTCCTGGCATTCCGTTCCCTTCCACACTCTCCTGGTCAGAGACATGAATTGGTTGTTTAATTTTCTGTTCCAGAGATTTCCCTGGTAGGCAACAAACCTGAAAAAGTGGCCCCTTCACGACAAGACATCTTCCAAGGTAAGGAAGTAAGGCTGTTTCTCACCTCCTCCTCCTCCTCCTCCTCCTCCTCCAGCAATCAAAATTCACTCCGAGAGAAGATGTCTCCCCTATAGAGGTTAAAGATTTTCTTCCTTCCTTTTCTTTTTGACTTTCTTCCTTTTTTTTTTCTTTCTTTCTTTCTTTCCTTCCCTCCCTCCCCTTCTCTTTCTTTTTCTTTCTCTTTTCTTTTTCTTTCTCCTTTCTTTTTCTCTTTTTCTTTTTACATTTTTTCTTTCTCCTTTTTTTTCTCGTTTTCTTTTTCTTTTCTTTCTCTTTCTTTTTACTTCCTTTTTTCTTTTTCCTTTTTTCTTTCTTTTTCTTTCCCTTCCTTCCTTCCTTCCTTCTTTCTTTCTCTTTTTCTTTCTGTTTTCTTTCTCTCTCTCTTTACTCTCTTCTTTCTTTCCCCTTTTTTTTTGTTTCTCTGTTTTCTTTCTTTTTCTTTCTTTTTACTTTTTTTCTTTTTCCTTTCTTTTTTCTTTCTTTTCCTTCTTTCTCTTTCTTTCTTCTTTTTCTTTTTCTTTCTTTCCCCTCCTTCCTTCTCTTTCTTCTTTCTTTCTTCTTTTTCTTTTTTCTTTCTTTTCTCTTTCTTTTTACTTTTTTCTTTCTCCTTTTTTCTTTTTTTTCTCTTTCTCTTTCTTTTCTCTTTCTTTTTACTTTTTTTTCCCTTTTTTCTTTTTTTTCTCTTTCTCTTTTCTCTTTCTTTTTACTTTTTTCTTTTTCCTTTTTTCTTTCTTTTTCTTTCCCTTCCTTCCTTCTTTCTTTCTCTTTTCTTTTTCCTTTCTCTTTTTCTCTTTTTTTTACTCTCTTTTTTCTTTCCTGTTTTCTTTTTTCTTTCTTTCTCTTTTTTCTTTCTTTTTCTTTCTTTTTTTCTTTTTTTTTCTTTCTTTCCCTTCCTTCTTTTCTTCTTTCTCTTTCTTCTTTCTTTCTTTCTTTCTTTCTTTCTTTTCTTTCTTGCCTTGATTTTTACAAATAAATCAAGGCAGTGAACATATACCCATACTTTCCCCCTCCTTTTTTCCCCATAACAAGAACCCTGTAAGGTGGGTTGCGTTGAGAGAGAGGGACTGGCCCAAAGTCACCCAGATGGCTTTTATGGCTGAGGCAGGACTAGAACTCACCGTCTCCTGGTCATTGGGCTGCAAAGTCCCCAGTCAGCTTTCATACCTAATGGGGGACTACAACTCACTGTCTCTTGGTCATTGGGTCAAACGCACCCAGCTGGCTTTCATGCCTAAGGCAGGACTAGAACTCACCGTCTCCTGGTGATTGGCCCAAAGTCACCCAGCTGGCTTTCATTCCTAAGGCGGGACTAGAACTCACCGTCTCCTGGTGATTGGCCCAAAGTCACCCAGCCAGCTTTCATGCCTAAGGCGGGACTAGAACTCACCATCTCCTGGTGATTGGCCCAAACTCACCCAGCCTGCTTTCATGCCTAAGGCAGGACTAGAACTCACTGTCTCCTGGTGATTGGCCCAAAGTCACTCAGTCGGCTTTCATGCCTAAGGCGAAACTAGAACTCACAGTCTCCTGGTGATTGGCCCAAAGTCACCCAGCTGGCTTTCATGCCTAAGGCAGGACTAGAACTCCCCATCTCCTGGCGATCAGCCCAAAGTTACCCAGCCACCTTTCATGCTTTGAAGGCACTGCCTCCTCTTCCTTACCTGTCATTATCTGACCCCGGACTCCCTTCCTTTTCCCCATTTAGAACAATTGGCCGCCATTCCTGAATTCAAGAACCTGGGCCCGCTTTTCAAGTCCTCTGAGGCCGTGCAGCTGACAGAGGCTGAGACCGAATACTTCGTCCGCTGCATTAAACATGTCTTCTCCAATCACATTGTCTTCCAGGTATACATATATATAAATATATATATATATATATGTTATGTCTCCCCTTTAATTGCAGGTGAGCAAAACGAAATATAACAGTTCCAGAAATATCACAAACCAAAAAGCAAACTCTCACAAGAGGACTGCTGAAGTATTTTCAGTCCTCAGCAATAAATCCAAACTCCGTCCGGCAATCCTGACGTGGCTATAAATCTCAATGCCTCAAAGAGTTCTCTTCGTGTGTTCACTCCCATAAATCACTTTGCTTCTGGAAAGTTCACCAGCCAAGCTGTTTCCCAGCCAAGCTGTTTCCTTTTATCCTCTAAGGGGCGTGTTAATCTCCTTAATTAGTCACTGGCTCGACGCCTCCTTCCCAATTGAGATTGATGTCTCAATCTCCGTCTATTTCTTACATCAAGCCAGGATCTTCCCAAGTTCTCTTCTTCACTGGAAAACTCTCGCATGTGTTCCTGGTTAGCTATTCCCGGCTGTTGCTCAGCCAGAGGAGAAGAATCAGAGGAGGTCGAAGGTCCTGACATCTCTATTAAATCAGGTTCGTCTCCTAGTTAAATCCATTTCCTCATCCTGGCTACCATCCAAGTCACTCAGCAGTGCCGGCTCATATTTCACTGCCATATCCTCTTCGCTCGAGCTCACGTCTGCCAACGGAACAGATTCCAACTCCGGAGTCACAACATATATACATATAAAATATGACAAAAATGCAAAGCTTAGGCAGAGTAAATTCATGAGAATGACTTGAAGCTAGTTGAGTTGGTATCTTCATCATCTCCTCTGCGTAGAACGGGTGTGTCCAATATCGACCCCTTTAAACCCCCGTGGACTTCAACTCCCAGAATTCCCCTGGGGGGAGGAAAGGAGAATTCTGGGAGTTGAAGTCCTCAGGTGTTAAAGGGGCTAATGCTGGATATCACTGTCCCAGAGCAATGTTCCTCACCGGGGGCCATTTTAAGAGGGCTGGACTTCCCAACTCCCAGAATTCCCCAGCCAGTCACGTGGGAGATACTGATGGAAAATTAGAACCCGGATCCTATACAGAGAGGTCCCCAGATGGGATCAACATGTGAGACCCATGTAAAAATGGGGCAGGGGGCTTCAGGCACATGGATGCGGCCACCATTTTTGCTGAGGGGGGGTCCATGGCGCTCTCTGAGCTGGGTGGCTTTCTCGCAGACATTTCGTTACCCACCTAGGTAATGTCATCAGTGCTTGAAGGGTTTGTGAAGTCAAAGAGGCAAAGAAGGAGGAGGAGAACTGTGGGGTCCTTGGTGCTGTCTCCGCTCAGTTTTCTTGCAGACGTTTCATTACCCAGTTAGATAACATCAGCAGTGCTAGAAGGGAATGAGGCATGAGGAGGAGGAGGATTGTGTGGTGTTTGGTGCTCTGTGAGCTGGGTGGTTTCCTTGCAGACGTTTCATGACCCAACTAGGTAACGTCATCAGTGCGATCATGATATACATCAGTGGCTCTTAAACTTCTCTTTAGTAACGGACTCCCTTCAAATATCTTTTATGGCCAGGGACCCCCAAGACTTAACTCGAGTTAAATCTTATACATTGCTTCAAGCCTTTTGGTTGAGAACACTGATGATATGACCTAGTTTGGTAATGAGACGTCTGCAGAAAGACGGCCAAGTTCAGAGAGCCTCAATCCTCCTCCCCACAACCCCCCCGACTCCCTTCCAGCACTGATGATGCTACTTAGTTGGGTGAAAAAATGTCTGCAAGAAAACCACCAAACTCAGAGAGCACCAAGGACCCCACAGTCCTTCCTCCTCTTTCCTCGCTTTCATTCCTTCTCCTTCCTTCTTTCCCTTTCTCCTCTTCTTCCTCCTCCTCCTCAATCCCACTTCCCCCTAGCACTGATGATGTTCTCTAGTTGGGTCATGAAATGTCTGCAAAAAAAGGACCAAACTCAGAAAGCACCAAGGACCCCACAGTCTTTTTCCTCCTCCTCCTCCTCCTCCTCCTCCTCCTCCTCCTCCTCCTCCTCCTCCTCCTCCTCCTCCACAACCCTCCCTTCCTTCCAGCACTGACGACATTCCGTAGTTGGGTCATGAAATGTCTCCAAGAAAACCACCAAACTCAGAGAGCACCAAGGATTTGCACAGTCCTCTTCCTCCTCCACAACCCTCCCTTCCTTCCAGCACTGATGACGTTCCGT